TCGTTCGTTCGTTCGCTTTCTCAAGCGCGTTCGTTCGTTCGTTCGCTTTCTCAAGCGCGTTCGTTCGTTCGTGGCCGTCCGAAGACCGACTCACTTTATACCGTTTGATCTTGGCTGCTTATATAGGACCCTGCGGTGACGTAGGATCCGGGCAGTGCCTCCCTCTCACGTGCTTCACGTGTACGGGTGAAAACAGTAGCAATCATTACCCGCTATATAGCTTACGCTTCGTCATAGCCATGTGGCGGACTGTAGTGCTACACGGGTATATATGGTTAAATATAACTTTATACGAATGAATATAGCTTCACGTAAACCGGACGTGGTCACTGGTCAGTGTCAGATATTACTGCGGTTCCCTATTAGATCCAAGAGGAATGGCAACTTGAAACTAGAAGTTTTTCAAAGACAAAGAAATTAATACATTAATTGACATAACTATAGATGGTAACTATAAATATGGAGTCTTAGGTGCATCGTTCAGCCGCAAATTATAATGACATGATTTGACAATACAAAATTTGCTTACACCTGGAAGGGAAGGATACTAAAACCGGGGAAAAAAGATTTAAAAATATCTTAGAGTGGGCTATCTGTAGACATAGGTCCATATGTAACCTCCAACATAATATCAGACGTGACTAAAAATGTTTGTTTTTTAATTTGTCCCTGCTAATAATGGCGCGCCCAGATTGTCGGAACAGAAATGAAAACAAGCAACATTCCAGGCTAACTCAAAAAGAAGCATTCTCATGTTAAACTGTGAGACCAAGACATTGACATGCACGTCACTCTTGTCGTCAGACCAAACCCGTAATACCTCTCTGCTCTACGACACATGCGCATACGGCTAAAGCGAGGCACGAAATAGAGATGTTTCAGAAACGCGCTGCAACATACGTTACCGACAGTTGTTATAACACCAGAGGTAACACGGATATTGTCGATGACGTGCGATGACGTAGTATGGGAGTTCTGGGATAGGAGTTCGAAAGCGAAAGCAATGTGCTTCAAATTTTTCAAGGACCCGGTTGACATACCACCAGCCCAATATCTCGTGCTTAGCTCAAATCGGTGCAAGGTGAAACCGCTTACAAAAGACTCGCCATGCAATATTCATCTTCTGCTGATTCATTACATATGGTATTACCGATACTGCGGAACATGTTATCATCTGCTATGGTTAAAGACCTATAGAAACCGTCAAGAGAAAATGATAGCCACTCCCCTCTCGCAGTAAATGTGCATCCATAGATGAGTAGAGGAGCATTGTGAAGACCTATGACTGCACGTGCCCAATGTGCCTTGTACTCAGGGGCTACCCGCACTAGCTGCGTTGAAGGCCGTTCGTAGTACAGGAAAGAATGTACGAAGGCCGCGGAAGCATTCATTTATCCATTCGCCATTGCTTTTGCTACTTTCGTGATTTCTTTTCAATTTTACTGCATTGTTTTCTACTCTGTCATTTATGCTTTCCCCTAAGTGACGGTTAATGCATAACCGTTATTTGTGACAGACGTTTTAACAGACGTTAGTATTAATTAGATCTCACTGATGAAATATATATATATATAT